AGAAGAAGTTGAGAAAGTAAAGAGATGATGTGAATGATGATGGACAATCACATATATCATGAGCTCCGCTTGACAAAGTCAACAGCGGGGCTAAAAAATGAATAAAATCAATGAGCTAGGATATAAAAACACCAGAAATAGTACTAAATACAATATGCTTTTGGCAAAACCCTTCATTAGTATGGGTAGACAGAACAATGGGTCATCCAATCAAAGCGATGATACTGGTAGACAGAACAATGGGTCAGCCAATCAAGGCGATGATACAGGTAGACAGAACAATGGGTCAGCCAATCAAGGTGTAATTGACTGTTCTCTTTGTTGATGCATTGTATTATTACCTAAAATGCTAATATTCGAGACACCGCAATCAAAATATTCAGCTACTGTGGTGTATTGAAGACATATATAAGAATGATAAGCATACTTACTAAATATCCTTGTAAGTTATCTGATGGAAAGCCCATGTATCTCTCAGTATACGCGGAATCTAAAATAAACAAGCCATGCATAGCACAGTCCCTGTTAGTTATCAAATTTAAGATTAATATAGCTGGAAAATAACCATGTCAGCAATATAAATTTTTAACATTAAAATGATTGACATTTGTATCTGATCATCAAACAAGTACTTTTCCATATTGAGATATTGCCCTGGAACAGCATTCAAAACCAGCCATTTTGAATATACATGATATATATATATAACATGATGTATAACGAATATGTAAAATTTAAATATAATAAGTCAATTTGAAAGCATTTTAAGAGATATGGCTCTAGAACCCCAATCATTAAAACAAAATGGCTGCCAGTCAGCCATTTTGAATTCAATCTGAAAAATGAAATGACGAGCATCAGGAACCCGTAATGTCTAATGTATGTACCAAGTTTGAACGAAATCCACCCATAAATACTTGATATTTGATGATTTTTTTAGCACAAAAATGACCACCATTCGGCCATTTGAATAGGATAGTCAAACCAATATATCTGTTTATCCATGACATGATGTATAATGAATATTTAAAATTTGAACATAATCAGTGAAAGCAAGTCAGAGAAATGGCATGAGAACCACATTCATTAATACAAAATTTTGAATCTTATCTGAAAAACAAAATTATTTGCATCAAGGTCCCATAATGTCTAATGTATATACCAAGTTTGAACAAAATCCTCTGTAACAGCCGAGAAATGCTTTGATTTTGATGATTTTTAGCACAAAAATGGCCGCCATTCGGCCATCTTGAATCAGATCGTGAAACAAATTGACATGCATAAACATGTATAATATCATGTATGATGTATATGTGAAGTTTGATTGTGATTGGTCCAGGCATTTCTAAGATACAAGTCCGCACACACGCACGCACATACACACGGAGATCAAAACACAAGTCCCCGTTTTCAGACTGCGTCCGAACGGGGACTAATTAAAGATCTGAGGATATTGTAGGTACATTAACTGATTATAGTGATTGCCAAAGTTAGATATCCAGATTGGGATTGTATTACAGATTAAATGCTTTATTTTTATGATTTTTACATTGAAATGGTCAACATTGAGCCATCTTGAATCAGATTGTGAAACATATGATGTATGTGTGACGTTTGAATATGATTGGTCCAGGTATGTCTGAAATACAGGTGTGATCATGCCAGAGAACGAAAATCATTTTTGCCACATACCATAAGAATATGGCTGTTATGCTTGATTTTTTGTAAACGGAGTTGATTTGTCAATATGAGTTGTTTGAAAACAATTTCATTGTTTAATAATTTTGAATTAACAGAGTTGATGTTGCTGTGATTATATATTAATGTAGATTAAAAGTGAACTGAGGGTAAAATTTGCTATTGGGGTACTCTATGGAACTGATCTCTAGGTATATCACCGATGTCTATTGTGACTGGTGTGAATGGCTGAATCGCTGCAACAATGACTGTTAATAATACATATATGTACTTCGTCACTGTTTATCAACAAAAAACTACTAATTTTCTAACCTTAAAGAAAAATATATAAGGTTTTCTTTTGAGAAATCAATACATCGCTTTCATGTACATGTGTGTAGCTTTAGCCATTGTCATGGCCATTTTTCAACAATTTCTGAATAGTTTTGGATACACCAGACAGTGTTCTGATTGGTTACTTAAGAGCTAGGCTTGGCCTATCAGAACAAAGGACATAGTGGGTCAACTCTTGCTTGAAAACATTTTAAAAATAAGTAAGATTGTTTTCCATTAAGAAATGCATCTAAATTTTCAACTTAAAATTTCTTTTATACATTTTATCACCAACTAAATTAAAACCAATGAATATTGCATTAAAATCAAATATAATTTTTGATCACCTGGAAATACCAAAATCAATTAAAAATAAATTTCTTTAGAATTTGAAATGTTCATTATGGTATCAAATGCCTTAAA